GTACGTTTAATAAGTCTCTTGTAGTCGATCGATCAGTAATTCAATGGTCCTTAGTCACAGGTGTTTCTGGTGGATAATTATGATTATTTAAGTTTACAAATGATAATGAAGTGATCTCTATACCGCTCTTTTTCGTTTCTCGTCTTTTTCTGCCATTCACCCAGCTTAACCTTTCGATCTTAACCCCTTTTATGACATTCGCCCGGCTTAACTCTTTGTTGTGCTTATGTTAGTTTCGGTGCTGTTAGGCGCAAAGGTTATTGGCGCTGCCATTTAGGTTCATGCCGTAACGGAAGATACTCTGGGGACTTGAAGGTTGTTGCAACCTATGGTGCAGGAGCAATTTTGTTTTTGACAGATGTGAAAGTGTTGGCATTTTTATTGGGATAAGAGTGCCTATGAGCATGAGCCCCAGTTGCCACTATAGTGTGATATGTTTTCTAAGTTGTAATTTATGTATTTGTATTTCGTTGAAATTATTTATAAGAAAAACGTCGTCGGCGTACGCGTTAAAGTTGTTTTCATTGTGTCGAGCTATGAAGTCTGATAACTTATTGTAGACCATGACGAACAGAATCGCAGATATGGTTGATCTTTTGGGGATTACGTTGGGTAAAGGTAGTGAGTTTGATGGGTGCGGATCAACGTGTATTATTATACCCGTACTCGAAGAGTATTTCTCGCTTAACAGGATTTATGTAGCGCCGAGAAAGAAACGTTTTCGACCCCATAAAGTATATATATTCTTGATCAGCACCAATAGCCAAGTGGATAAAGCAAATTCTGTCCGTCTGTCCGTCCGTCTTGCTTGTCGCCTAGATCTCAGAGACTATAGGAGCTAGAGCAACCAAATTTTGTTTCGAGACTCATCTGATATCACACTGCTACAAGTTTATTTATTAATTTCGCCCCGCCCCTTCCACTCTCACAAAGAACGAAAATCTGTGGCATCAAAAATGTTGTAGATAAAAGAAAACGGAAAATACTGGATCGTAAAGAAGACCATATCTATCAGATTGCCGAATCTGGTTTCAGATTTTTATTATAGCCAAAATGAAGTTGTTTACCCCTCCCCTATAAGCGCTTAAGCTACTAATTATTATCTTTCTCGCTCGCACACACTCTGACGTGTGCAGTTCGCGGAGAAGATGCAGAATCTAAATTGTAGATGTTAAATGATGACAGATGTAGGTAGCAAAAATATGTAAAAAATATACGCACCCAGAGAACGTTGTCTCGCCCCATTTTAACGCCTTCACATAAGCTCCAGATTGATAATAAAAACGAGAAGGAATGTGTGAGTCGCTACTTTGGACGCGACTCTACTTTTATACCCGCACTCAGTCAGTATATACTTTTGTGAGCTTATGATTTATGCAGAATTTAAAAAAATTTTACATTTTACATTCTTTTGCTACATCTGTTATCTACATCTACATCTTACATGTTTAATTTACATCTGAAATGTAGATTATACATCTACAATGTTGATTCTGCGTCTTCTCTGCTAAAGGTCGCGCACTGCATAGGGCAGAGTGTGTGCGGGCGAGAAAGAGAATAAGTAGCGTCAGCAGCACCGGAGGAGCTGGGGGAAGCAACTGAAGCAACTGTCTGGCGATAAACCAGACAGACATAGCTATATCGACTCTGCTATTAATGCTGATCAAGAATACGTTGATCAAACGTTTCCTTCTCTGCGTTACACACATCCACTTTTACCACACATTTAATATACCCTTTAACTCCTTTTAAGTACGGGTATAAAAATAGTTCAAATTTCGATGAGCTATTGAGCTTTTTCAATAGCGTAGATTTAGATCGAAATGGAAATAAAATTGAAATCAAGACACAGTTTGTTCGATTATATTATGTATGCTTTATTTTCCATGCAAGGCGAGTGGGAGGATTATGGCGCGGAAATGAACAACAGGCGGAACCGAATCGGACCGTGCTTAAGCGAGAACAAGAGGTTTGATAGAGTTAAATTGTAATGATATGGCAGTCAGGTCACTGTGCCAACCGACGATACGTTTATTTACGACAATGATAGATTTTGAAATGTATTCTGCCTTTTCTGATGAGCCTCCCCCACAGCGGCTGACGAAAGCCGAGAAAGAGAAAGGCACCAGCAAGAGCATAAGTACAAGCAAACAAACGGTTATAAAGAGAGACATTACATTAAGAGATGCTCAACTACTCTATGTGCTGCCATGGGCCGGCGCTTAGCCGAAAATAAGCATTTTAGTTAATCACTATCCAATACGCTGACTGAATTTTTACTTAACGATTCCACGCTCAATCCGCGGCAGTCCGAGGTGGCCACCTAGGGCGATTCGGACTTTCGAAGTTAATACAGTAATGCCACCTTTTTTAAGCCGAATTCGGAGCAAGATATTTAATATTAATTATATTGAAAGCATTCTGTTTTTCTTCAATTAAGCATTACAAAAAATAGCTTATTGCAGTAAAACTTCCTTTACGTCAAACTTGTGCATACTTTTTGTTCGAATAGTGAAAACATTTGTAGTCATTTGTAGTTCTAACAGGTGGCTTCAAAGTGCCAAAACAGAACTAACTAACCATTTCTACACATTATTGCCATTGCATTTATGTAAAAAACCCCTGTTCGGCTAAGTGCAGACCCATGGCAGCACAAATAGAAGCATAGCGATCATTATACCAAAAACTGGTAGTTTTAATGAATTAAATCAGCAGTAGTTTGAGAAGACAATCACAAAAACCACATACGGATCGTCTGAACGTGAAAACGAGTCCGATGCGCATCTGAGAAGCCTGCGCTGCAAGGTTTGTATTCTAATATGTTGCCTCCGTAGTTCTTCGATGGCCAACAGTCTCGGTAAAAGCATATTAATTAAGTTTACCATAAAATTCAGATGTCTGTTTTTTTTAAACAGCTGATTGCTGCCATGCACGGAGAGTTTCCACACAACTGCTAGAGTTGCCGAGTACATTGTTTTGTTTGACTCGCACGATATGGAATGTTTTTTTGATTTGAAATTTTAAAAGTACAGCTTTGAAAAATCAATTATTTTATATCATAAAATAAAAAATAAAAACCAATTGTCTTGATATGATAAAATCAATAAAACTGCAAAATGAACCCTATTCGAATTAATCTTGAAAGGTGACAACCCTAGCCTTAGTTCGAATTTGGTTTGTGACAATGCTAAGAAAAACGAAATCGCTCGGAATTCTGTGGCACGGCGGAAATTTTTAAGCAGAAGCCCTCTGCGCGGTTTCCCATTTCACTAGTGATTTCTGTGGCACCCCTGTATATATTTTTGATGGGGTCGGAAACTTTTCCTTGTCTGCGTTGCACACATCAACTTTTACCAAAAATTTAATTTACCCCTTCACTCTAGTTTGAGTACGGGTATAAAAACTGCTTAAAGATTAAATATTTTTAAATATTTTATCTAGGAATGAAAAAGCAGCCTGGAACTCATTCCGACTTGTAACAACCAACTTTCTTGGTAACAGCAATTTTGATGATTATATTAATTATGAAAAAATCGGGGCAAATATGTCACTAAAAATCCATTTCCTTTACTCCCACTTAGACTTTTTTCCCGCCAAACCTAGGGGACATCACTGATAAACACTGAGAAAGATTTCACCAACAATTAAAATCTATGTAATGACGATATCAAGGTGTTTGGAATCAGAACATATTGGGCGACTATGTGTGGAATCTCATAAGAGAATCTGATGCGAATGACAACTTAAATTAATTTAAAAATATTATTATTACTTTTATTGTGTTGCAAACAAAATGGGTCCTTATTGTTTAAGAACTTGTAGTAACACAATATCTATTTTGTGGGGACCAGCAGTTGTGAAAACATAAAGGTCAAAATTCGACCTGAACAGATACTTATGTACCTTAGATTAGGTATAAAAAAAAGTAACTGTCAAAAACATTTAAAGCCAAAAGAACATGATCAGATACCAAACGAGAAGGAACGTGTGAGTCGCTTCTAGTGACGCACCCTTTACCCGACAGCATAAACATAAACTTTTTGGTTCTTAAAATTTATGTAGAATTTTAAAAAATTTTAAATTTTACATAATTGTTATCTACTCAATGTATATTTCACTAAATTACAGTAGCTTTTTATACCGCTAGGGCACTCGCGCACTGAACGGCAGAGTGTGCGAGCGGGAGTAGCGGGTCACTTGTGGGAGGTGGGGGCACGAAATTAATTTCTCATTCTGGCTATATTATGCGACGATTAGATCGGCGGGTAGATGGCATCCTACGATACGGCTCAGTTTACGTCTTTAAGGCCGCCGTCGCCTTGTGGGGGCGGGGGGGCGAGCGAGACACGAGCAGCTGGACAGTTGGTTGCCCTTATAGCTGGAGGCGACAAACAAGACGGACCGAAGAACGGACAGACAGACATGGCTATATCGACTTTGCTATTAATGCTGATCAAGAATTTATATACTTTATAAGGTCGGTAACGTTTCCTTCTCTGCGTTACACACATCCACTTTTACCACAAATCTAATATACCCCTTAACTCTTTTTGAGTATGGGAATTAAAATGGAGAGATACAAATGTATAGTGCATCATCATGTGAGAACGGCTGGTCAGGTTTGGTTAAAATTTTTATTCAGTTGTTCGGATTTGCCAGAAGAATGTTCCTACGTAAAAAAAAAACCATCGATTGAGTTTTAGAACTTCTGGGCCGATTTGGCTCAAATTTTGTTAGGTTGTTCGTATTTGCCAATCGTTTGTACGAAACAAAATTTCAGAAAAACTTTTTTATTTTTTTTTTTTTTATGGAAGTAGGCGAATAGCCAATTGTCATAGGTGAAGATGAGTTATTAATCAATTGAGTTATTTGATTGACTAATGTCTGCTACGTAGGAGAAGAGGCAATTGTCGTAGTCGAAGATTAGTTATAAACTCCAGATATTATTCATCAATTGATTTATAATATGCCTGCTTTTAGACGATCAAACCTTGGACGACGTACACGTCGTGAAAAGAGTAATCGGAATGTATCTATTAATCTAACGCAAGAGGAACGTGCAGAAGTAAATGAATGGAGACGTGTCCATATTGCACAGGTTCGCGCTGCACAGTTACCACCTAAATTCGACCCGTAAAGTTGAATCGCGCTGCTTTTGAATATGATTGCGCAATAGCCTACCAAGATCTTTGCTGCGTTGATATCTGTTTATTGTCTGTAGTATACCAGCATTGCAATGCATTGAGGTTTCAATCGGAAACCCCCGGCATATGCTGCGCTGGTGGAAAGGTAAAATTTCCCGCTTTGACTCATCCGCCACAGCCATTGTATTCGCTTCTCTATGGAAATACAAACAACGGATGCTTTTAAATGGCGTCATTTGGAGCAAAATTTGTTGATCAACCAGGATACAATCCGAGTTATAAGGTAATTAAACCAACATGAACTATTCTCATTTTTATTTTTGTTTGAAATGGCTTTTTAACATTCAGATTAAAGGGCCAATTCACCATCGAGCGGGCGCCTTTTTATCACCAAACGAAGATCATAAGTTCTTTCAGATCTATTTCGTGGGAGATTCATCAATAGAACTAGATAGGCGCAGAGAAATTTTTACTGCGACTAAACGTGAAATGTTACACCAATTGCAAAATCTTCTGCATAAGCATAATGAATTGGTCAGATTTTTCAAAGACGCATTGGATACAATGCATTCTGACAACCACAAAATCATTATCAGAGCAGACAAAAGACCAGTTGGAGGCCATGCAAGACAATTCAATGCTCCAACTATCAATAAAGTCGCAGTGGTAATTGTTGGAGATAATGTAGAATCACGCGATATTCTTCTAAAGCGTCGGGACGGAGGACAATTGCCATGAGTATACAAGACTCATCGGTCATATGATTCACTTCAGTCATCTGATCAGATATCGCCGGTTGTGTTAACACTACTGCGCCGACACGTACGTAAAGGTCGAAACAGAGCGGCTCAATTTCTTTCGTTTTAATCTCTCGAAGTTACGATCAGAAGAGTACATCCACTTGCGTGAAGCCATCGCTACTGAAGGAAACGCCGCCAGCATGGGTTGTTTGACCACTTATGTTTGAAGCCCGCGACACATGCATGAGTACGCTCCAGATGCGATGATGTAGGTGCGGAATTACGGACGTCCGGATTTATTCAACACTTTCACTTGCAATCCGAAATGGCCCGAAATTAGGAATCTGTTGCTGACAGAAAAAAAAAAGCGATCGACATAATATCACTGCACGAGTATTCAAACAAAAGATCAGAGTACTCATGAATTACATTGTTATGGAAAAGGTTTTTGGTGAAATTCATTGTTGGATGTACCCGATTGAATGGCAGAAGCGAGTTTTACCACATGCACAAATTTTGCTTTGGATGTTCGACAAGATTCGACTAGATTATATTGATTCGATCATTAATGCCGAAATACCAGATCCAGAAACGGATCCGAAGTTGCATTCCATTGTGACAACGAATCTGATCCATGGCCTTTGCAGAGTCCTCAAACCAGACTCACCGTGTATGAAAAACGGGAAATGCACAAAGTGTTTTCCCCGTCCGTTGGGGAACAACACAATCAGTGGAATGGACGGATATCCATTGTATCAGTGTCGATCATCAAAGCCACATGTCAGCGTTAAAATAGGGCGAGACAACGTTCGCCGGGTCCACTGGTATATTTATTTAAATGGAAGCGAAATCAATTGAGAGCAATATGATAGGCAATATTTTTTAATTTGTTTTCCGCAACAAGCCACGTATCGGGTTTGCCAACACGCGAACAGGCAACGTACAGCTGACTGTGCGAAAAACAGGGAAATTCGAGATTATTCCCAGACTTCCAAAGACTGGCCTTGGCATTAATTGATTGTCATCGCAAAATCCAATCGAACGGGGATCTGAATCCTCTTGAATTGAAATGGAAGGTTAGTTGGAATAATCGGAATTCGTGGGATAGGGACTACATCTCCCTTTTCAGATTGCTCAGCAGTAAATTATGCGGCGGAGTTCCTGGCGCATCAATCCAGTTTAAAAATTCGATGGGATAGTTTGTTGCTTCATCCTCTTCGGTCACGCTGTCAACGGATTTGTATGAATGCAGCTCTCCAGCGATTTGATCTTGAATAATGGAATTCAAGCTAGTTATGCCCGTTCACTAATCTAATCCAGATTTTTATAATTTTGTGCAATTCCGGGGAACACTTAAGTGAACACTTAAGTTCCTCCTTCGACGATGTAAGCTCGCAAAAATTTGACGCAACGATTAATCCAGTCGAAACATCATTCCTGTTGATTGCCATTGCTTAGCGCCAGCAGTTGTTTCCAAAAATTTAGTAGCCGATGGGTCGTTCTTCAACGCTACTCTCATGTTTTTGGTCAACTACCACAAAGATGAAGATTTCAGGCATGCATTAAGTTCATCGGCAGCAGAAGGTTTCGGAATGACTGGAAGCGTTTGACGGAAATCTCCAGAGAGAAATATCATGCCCCCCCAAATAATCTTAAATTAACTCGTTAATCCATCATCATTTTATCAACTGCCTCCAAAGATCGCTTATGCGCAATCCTGCAATCATCCCAAATATGAATTTTGCATTCTCGCATTATATTAGCTGTCGCCGAGTTCTTTGGGACAACCTGCCAACTTGCAGGCTGGTCAACCATGAAATTTTTTGTCGGCAGCTTCAAAGCGGAATGTGCAGGTCGACCGCCTTCCAACAATGTGGCAGCAATTCCAGAGAATGCAACCGCCAATGCCATTTGACATCTTGACCGAATTGTTGCCAGAATCAATGAAATGACGAATGTCTTGCCTGTCCCCCCTGGAGCATCGAGAAAGTAAATGCCTCTCGTTCCCTCGTCAACAACCTTCATAAGCGAATAGTACACGCTCTTCTGCTCGGCGTTCAGAAGCGGAACATTTGTTTGGACTCTTTCGGCCAGCTCATCTCGATCTTCGTCTTGCTTCCGTTGAAAGTCGCGATTGAATGCATCGTGCATCAAACGATTTGGCGGTGGCATTCCCAATGTCGACGGCAGACTGCCGCACATGAGCACGCAAATGTCTTTGATAAGAACTAACGCTTCGTTGCGCAATGTGTAGTTAATTTCAAGGTTGGAATTCGAGTGTGCCGTGCGATCTCTGTGAAAAATGTCGTCAGCCATATCGTCCTTGTATTTGTCCCAGAACGCGGTTGAATTCGACGGTTGGCATGGGGCTATGATGATCGCAAACAATGAACAAATTTGATTCGCTAGCGCAGAAACAGTTGCATCGGCGAGCGTTGAGTCCCAATGTGCATCGTTTCCGAGAAAATTCAAACATTGGCAAGCATCCCGAAAAGTGGTGCACAGCACACGATCCACAGTACGCAAGGAAGCGAAGTAGAAGCATTGGTCCTGGCGTGGATGAACTGTGTATTTTCATCCGAATTGACAATAGCGAAGACAGCAACACCGTCACCTCTCTTTCGGCGTTGAAACTTCTTTGATGAAGCGTTCCATGCATAATAACGTGGCATTTCCGAATAGAGCAAAGTCCTGCAAACGGATCGCTTTCGCATGTCGGAAATAAATTTTTCAATGTTGTCGCTGGTGGTCTTTTTGCTCTTTGCGCTGCATTTCTGTTCGCCCTTCTCCAAGCAAACTGCAAAATGCACAACAGTCGGGTGACGTTCATAGATCGGAAATGAAAATTTCGTCACGTCGTCGTTTGCATTTAGACCGGTAATGCCAAACACCGCCATATCGCTTCCCCTTGTTGACATATTTGAAAATGTATTTGATGGAGTTGTAGTTCTCAACATTGCAGTGGGTTGAGAATGTTTTCAACAAATTCGGACAATTTGGAACGATTTAGGGGCTATCGATAACATCATTTGCTTTCTCTTTCATCACGATTGATCTCCCATTGTCATTTGGAGAACAACACCGATACAATGAATATCCGTCCATTCCACTCATTGTGTCGTTCCCCAACGGACGGGGAAAACACTTTGTGCATTTCCCGTTTTTCATACACGGTGAGTCTGGGTTGTGGACTCCGCAAGGGCCATGGATCATGTTCGTTGTCACAATGGAATGCAACTCCAGATCAGTTTCTGGCTCTGGTATTTCGGCATTAATGATCGAATCAATATAATCTAGTCGAATCTTGTCGAACATCCAAAGCAAAATTTGTGCATGTGGTAAACCACGCTTCTGCCATTCAATAGAGTACATCCGACAAAGAATTTCGCCAAAAACCTTTTCTTTAACAATGTAATTCATGAGTACTCTGATCTTTTCTCTTCTGATCGTAACTTTGACTGATTAAAACGAATGAAATTTAGCCGCTCCGTTTCGACCTTTACGTACATGTCGACGCAGTGCTGTTGGAACAACCGGCGATATCTCAACAGCTGATTGTTAACCTCTTGCCGACCTTCTTGTTCGTTTCTTCCCCTGAAATATGAATTTATCCAACTTAGTTGTAGAATGAAAAAAAGGTAGTTACTTATAAACAAACCTGTCGTTGCATTGACCATCTTTATATTTAAGTAATAGCCATCCTTTCCACGACAGAACATCAATGGGTATTGAAGTTTTTTTTTCCAGGTTCATAATGTAGGTTTATTGTAATCAGTTTGTGCTGTGCGAGGTTCTCAGAAAAGTAGATTTTGTATTATTTGCTATCGATTTGGCGGGACATTTAAGCGCATTACATTCGGAGTTAAAATTCGCGAGTTTCACAACACAGTCAGCTGTGGAGAAAGCTCGTAAACTCGATCGTTTTGGGTGGAGCGAGAATAGGTTCTTGACGGGCTCAGCAAATTTTCTCTTCCTATTTGATTATACCAGCGATGCTGACCAGACCTAATTTCTCGTATGAACAGTAAAACACGTGTTTAACCCAGTCCTAAATAACACTACTCGACAAAATTGAACTTTTTATTTAGGCTGTGAACCAAAATGACTTTTTCTGATAGATTTCAGGATTTACAAATTTTTGTACTACTCTATTATTTTTTTATGGTGTTATTTTTTTTTAAGAATTTTTTAAATCTGGTATTTTTTTTAATGGTTTTTTTTCAGATTAGTGCTTCTATTTTTCACTTAAGTATCTTTTATCCATAGATTTTAATGAGCAATACCTTAAAATACGCTTATCTTTTATCCATAGATTTTAATGAGCAATACCTTAAACGCTTAATTAATGCGTCTATCTAAAACCAAAAATGTTGGCCAAGAACTATTTTTTTTCAACTTTTCCCGAGTATTTCGAAAAAAATACCAAAAAAAATGATGAAATTTGAATTTGAAAGCTTAAGTCTTTCAGGCGTTAAGCTGCAGATATAAAGGGTCTGGGTCGGACTTATAGCTGCACTTGTCAGCTTTGCAGAACTGCAAAGTT